TTGGAATATTTGAAATTATGTCATCGCCCGGAAAATTCAAGTGTTGCTGGTAAAATGTATATAGAAATTTATATATAAATGTCAAATTTTACGGCGAACACCTAAAATTTCCGGGGATTCTTTTCTGTGTGTGTGTTTAAAAAAATTAAACAGTCGAAAATATGGTGACATCATACAATACATAATTTTTTTTCTACATTTCTAGAGGGTGCCAGTTGTGATTTGGATTCACCATGTTTTAGATTTTGTGGTTGCCTACCATTTAAGCCCAAAAAATCGAGAAAAAACCACGTCAATTTGAGTTTTTTCACATTTTATACTTTGAACCCACTATTTAGGGCTTGAATGGGCCCGAATGGGGTGGTCGTAGATGAATTTTTTGTAGCCCCATTATCTATCCAACCATGCATATAGTTTTGAAAGTTTGTACCACACTTCTCATAGTGAAAAATGTGAAAAAAGTGCTTTAGTCAATTTTTCGCAAAATTTGGGTCACCCAAATTTTTTTGGCTTTGCAAGTTTTTGCCCATAAGAAGTTCATACACCAAGTTTGAGCGGAATCGGAGAGGTCACTTGCAAATTTTGTCCCGCATTGCTGTGATTCTTGTCGATTTCCAAAAGGAGATATTTGTCATGCTCATTACATACGATATTAATACACATTTTGAAACGAACATTCAGAAATCTTCAAAAAAAAAACTAAGATTTCAGAATGCACAGTAGGAGCCGAAATTTGCTCAAGTTTTCTGCATGATTAAGATTCGTGGGACTCAAGATTCCCGAACGTTCACTGTACTTGATTCTTTTCGTAAAATAGCAAGCCAATTCGCATACAATAGCAAATGACGGAATTGTTCATTGTACAAGTGGATACAATGTCCATATTCAGCATTCTTCATCCACCAACTCAAGATTGATTCATGCATGTATAAAGAAGCAGTTTACAAACAAAGCAGCGCGTGGTGCTTATTAATTTGACTCACAAAACTGTGTTCACCTAATGGTGAATGGGCAAAGACGTTATACATTGTGCATGTGTCCAAAGAATAATTTTCAAGAAGATGACTCAATTTGGTTATACTACTGTGGGCAAAAAGTATCCGGAAATTGTCATTTTAGCCACTTCAGGTAATGATATCGGTAAAATATTTTTTCCCTGAATTGCTACAACCTTAACAAATATCCCAGCTGAATTTGAGCTCAATATGTCAAGTGGTGTGGTTGTGGCAACGGTGTAAGTGATACCTCCTAAGGTACACTCTGCAAATTTTCGAAAAAGTATCATAATAATAAAATCATGCTTTGACCTATGTTCGAGCAAAAATGCTACATTTTATTGCATTGGTGTCTTCAGCAAAGTTGTTGGGCATTCTGTTTTCTTCAATTTGGTATATATTGAACATAGCAATACAACACCCATTGACGAGAAGGCCCATAAAAACTGAAAAATGTCAGAAAATTCGAATTTTTCGAGTTTCTTTGTTAGTATTTGTTCATAAATGTCTTTTTCCGTAGCTCTAATGTTGCTAAATACTATATTTGGACTATAAACTTGATGTTTAATTGAGTGTGTAGAATAGAAACAGACACACACGCTGTGTTGAAGGTGAAAGATCAAGAGACTAGAAGAGCCCGATTTTTGATTTCTTGGTTGAGCATTGAAAAAGTCAAATTTTTGACAAAAATCATTGTGAAACCATCAAATGTCTTCTGTATTTGTTCAAAACTAGTACTCTTTTGACATTTTATCGCATTTCCACCGCTTGGTTCTTTGGAAAATGCCATTTTCAGTTAATATTATCACAAAAATAGGAATTCACAGAGTGTACCTTAGGAGGTATCACTTACACCGTTGCCACAACCACACCACTTGACATATTGAGCTCAAATTCAGCTGGGATATTTGTTAAGGTTAACAATTCAGGGAAAAAATATTTTACCGATATCATTACCTGAAGTGGCTAAAATGACAATTTCCGGATACTTTTTGCCCACAGTAGTAGGTCATAGTCAATGTGAAGATTCGTTCCAAAATGAAGTATTGGAACCACCATTAAAAAGACCAATTGCTTAGGATATCTCATTAACAATGGTCTAAAATGCAAATTATTCAGTCATCAAAATGTGGGAAATTAATAATGCCCATTATATTGAATTGATATTAATTGTATTGACAATTTGCGGTCATATACAATTTACACACACGTTCAGTTGAGCTTTCAATCAGAAAAAAATTGTGCAAAGATATTCAGGCCATTCTGATTATGTCTATTTTAGTGCCCATCAACGAAAATCAAACCAGATCAATTTGTCTATTAGCTCTCTATTCAGCTTATCTGTAAAAGGTTTGTTCGACTTCGATTCAAATCAGCTTTAATGAAGAAAATGAAGGAGAGGAAATAGGAAAAAAATTACAGCATTGATTTCCGCTTAAGGAAGCCTCAACAGATTGCAATTTTACGTGTAAGTTGCACGTTGCAGTGATTCGGTATGCGATTGTACTTGACTTGACTCAATTTCATTTCTGAATCAACGGTTAAAGAAACAAATAAATGACTTTCTTTTTCGCTTTTGTTCGCTTATTATATTCCGCGACCAACAACTCAATCGTTTGCTTTGATTCAATGAAAAGAAGAAACGGCTATGTATTGGACATGAGTAAGAGTAAGAGTAAGAGTCAATAGTATGTTTCCCAGCGTTGTTTATGCTATATGCTTCACAGTGTATTGATATAGTTTGGTATACAGCGTATGGAGTACGTTGGATGGATGGATGAATGTTGGAAATACGTAATTTTACTGGAGCGCTTGTTGTGTCGACCGAAAATGGATGAATTATATCAACGAATATCCATCCATACATACTCACATCAAGGAGAACTGAACTGAACTGAACCAAACTACCCTTTGCCGTTGGCTTTTTCTAGATGAGCGCAAACAACAATGCACATGCGTTTGATTAGCATGGAATTGGAATTTTGGCGGCAGTATGTCTTTCGATACCACTGAGACAACACACATTTAAGCGTTTCAGTTCAAAAAACTATGCATAAAGTGTTTTCGGTCGTGCTTTTAACGCAACTTCCACTCACAAAACGACGAACGCAAGAAACACGGGAAAAATTGAGAAAAAATATTGTGTGTTTCCTAAAATTTATTGTATATTGTTTATTTCGTTGTTGACGTTGCGCCAGTATTTGGATCGGGATCCAAAGTTCAGTCTGTGGTAGTTGCTGACGTATTTTTTGTTTCCCTCTCGTCTCTTTCTCTCGTTATCGCGACCGTTATTAAAATCGTCGTGCTTTTATTCAGTGCTCCGTAGTGGCGGTTTCTTTAATATGAACGGGACTATTTCGGCAGTGGCCCCTCAAACACTTCATTTATTGAGAAGTCAAACAGTGCTGGGAAGCAATCATTTCGGAAAAATCATAAATTTTAATGTGCTTCAAGTATGTAAATTACAAAGTGAAAATTTTCGGTCGGCCCATTGTTAAGTGCCTTTTTTCATTTGTTTATTTGCTTTAAGTTTTGTTGGATGAGTGGTTTGCTGGCTGACTGGCTGCTGTGAATTGCTTTATATCATCATGGTCGTTGACGATGTCGTTGCGTACTATCGTCATAGTTATGTTATTAGTTGTTGTTAGCACTGTGTTTTTTTAGTGCCCTTCCTTTATTTATTGCTTTTCCCTCGTTATTTTTGCTTATTTGATTTTTGGTCTTAATTTTTAGTGCGTTTGTGCAAGCGGGCATTGAAATCTGGTGGAAAAGTGAGCAAATGAAAGGCTTCCAATATCAGCTTCTAATATAACAGTAATGGGTCGTAATTTATTGCAACTGTACTGCAAAAAATATTTATATGTATATTTTATGTGCTGATGCCAATATACGATTCACAAACTGACCAAAAGAGATATCGAAAAATCCGAAACTGTGGGAAACTGTAAGAAAATATACCGGATAAAAAAAGAAGCAATAGAGCATACAGATACAAACATCAATAGTAATGGAAAGGCTTTTATTGCTAGCAAAAATTCGAACTCGAGTTACAATCATTCCAAAATAGATGCAGAGTTATCGAAGCTGCACAGCGGTGTTTTAGTTTTTATTCCGTGTCGAATCACTCGATTCATACTTATGTTCCGAAGAAGGAAAAAACAAGCCACTATAGAATGAGTGAAGGACATATTAAACATCGGCCGCAGAGTTGCAGAAGAACAAAATGGAATAAAGTGGTCAATCGCCATGCAGATTTGTTCTTTTGCGCTCATCCACACAAAAACTCAATAGGAAAATAAAATTAGTGTGCAATAAACATCCATAACAGTTGTGGAGATTGTATAAATCACATCTTCAAATATGGATATATTTCAATTTCAACGACACGCAAGTTGTTTTGTTCTTAATATATACCACTCCGTCGGTTCCACAAAATCGGTTAAACCAACAATCGCAAAATTTAACATTTTTCATATAGCAAAATCGCTACTAACGTGAAAATAAACGTTCATACTTACTCAATCATTCAATTTCAATTGATTTCATTTTTCCCTAGAAAGAGGCCAAAATCGATCAGGATTACCATTTTAAGTTCAATCCAGTGCCAATTTTTCCAAATTAATTCTGACCATATTTTGTCATTCTTAATCAATTTTCTAATTCTTTTTTTTCTTTGGTAATTGCGAGTAATTGAATAAGTTCAATTTAAAGTGTGCGTCGTTATATGTTTCGTTTCATCAAAAACAAAAGTTTATATGCATCATATATATTGGTTGGGCAGGAAATTTCGGAAGTTAATTTCCCAGCAAAAATTTATCCATACACAGAAAACTTGAACGATTTATTATGATGACGATGAACAAACTATTATAATTAGCTTAATGAAAATCCTTATTATATTCAATATTTATTTATTCTTGAAATTGAATTGATACTAATTTTTTGCACTAAACTTTAATGAAAATGATAATTATATTGGCCTTGTGGAATCACTAAATGTATTAAAGTGTCAAGAAAATGCAAAATTCAACCGTATTTAAAATACAGGTGATTGGTTCAAAAGTTAAAAGCAAACTTTTCAAGAGCACATTTTTTTCCCAAACACTGCCGAAAAATATGATTATTTGATTATAACAAAATACCGACCATACTATAACCTACATTTTAATCTGATTTCAAAATGATTTAATGTAAGATGTTGATATCCGATTGTGGTTGTGGTTTATACTACGTCGAATGACCACTATATGCCATTATACGATGTATGCCAGGATACGATCGTGAATTGGTCTTGTAATTTAGTTTATCAATGCCTAATTTAACAAAAAATCATTGCAGTTTTGAAAAATGTGTAGATGTATTTTAATGGGCAGAAAACGTTCAATAATAATTTGTTCTATATAGTGTATACTATGTCAGAAATGTAAATATAAACATTCTTCGACATCTTATCAACATCATATAGATAGGATGGAACCAGAAAATTATTTTTTGTCGAAATTCAAGTTCATATGACTCACCAGGAAAATTAAAAAGTCTATGAACTAGAAGAGATTCATACAAAGGGTGCGATTTTTCCTTGAAATGTCTCGATTTTCAACGAAAACATGCTGATATGAGAGCATAATGTTGTTATTCCGAAACCCCATTATTTTCACGAAAAAATAGCAATTTCGTCCTTTTACAATTATCAATTATCTCGTCAACGTGCACTTGAACGACGTCATACAAACATCGCAATTTTACACCTTTCTCATGAATAAAGTCTTTCCAAAAAGGGGGTAGAAAGATTTTAATCGATGGAAATTGAACCCACTTGTATGGATGGATATTAGGGCGGCCTTCTATGAAGCAATGCGTAGGTCTATTGACTTTTTGCACATACCCATGGTTTTTTGTCCAGTTCTTCGAATCACAGATTCTATTTTTGGGTGTACGTGGTATTTACTGATTAGACCCAAACGACTGAAGTATCTGATAGTCATGTCCTGACTTACTTCAGGTGTGACCAACGTTCGAAACCATTCAACCGCACTCTTCAATTGATTCACATCCTTTGTTTTGGTTATTTCAAATGGGGGGAATGTTACAATTTCTGATATACCGATATATTCATCAGCAATCGAACATTGCTCATTACGGTTGGTGTATAGGATATTTTAGTCCGTCATGTACACCAACCTAGCGAGTTATTTACAACCCATTTTTACGTGTACTCGAACCAACTCATCTTCTGTATTGGGTACACGGGTATTCCACGGCTAAAAGTGCCTCCCGGAGCACTCCATGGGCCTTAACATGGGCTGTAGTCTATCAATTCACAATGCCATTGGCAGAACCAATGATATTTTGAAGAGAAAAGATTTTCGGCACACATACGAACCCACTTACATTTCTCCATTCATAGATATGATTTATAAGGAGTTTTACGTGACTTATTGTGCGTCCTGCTAAAAGTAGATATACACTGAGAAAAAACATTCTGAACAAATGACAGATGACATTTGGAAATGGTTAGTTTACAACTTTTTTATATGTAGATTGTGAATTGTCCAATTTTTTTGGTAGTATCGTATTGCAGAAAAAGTTGGACAATTCACAATCGCCATATAAAAAATGTTGGAAACTAGCCATTTCCAAATGAAGGTTGCGAATTTTTCCGACAGAGTTCTCTTAGTGTACCCTAAAATTTCCGAATAAAACCAATACTTTTCCCAACAAGCTATGTTAGTGGAGAAGTAATAATGGCGAGCAAATCGAGCGAAAATTTTTGAATGATTAATGTAAAAAAGTTTTAAATACAACTAAAAATTGTCGTTTCAATGAATAATCATAACTGCATTTCTGGAATCACAACTGCAGAAAAAGACAATAACTGCAGCTTAAATTAGGCATTGGCTTTATCTTAAATGCAGCTTGAATGTGACAATTACATTGACTACGACGTTTCCATTTAATATAAATTGCAATACAGAAAATCCATATTCTGCTTTGTAATAAGAAATTCATTTTAAATTTGTGGTACAGTGGAACCTCGGAAATTAGAAGATCCAGAAATTAGAATTCCTATCTTCTAATTTCAGAGGTACTTTTTTAAATGCTTATTTAATGCAATGTAGCTATTGTATCGAACGAAAAATATTTTAAATGGAACAAAGTATCGATTGGAATTTCTTGACAAAACCTAGGAATTGAATCACTATTTGTGGTTTTTTTCCAAAAATTATGAGCCTCAGCTTCAAAATCTCGAAACAAAACATATTAATGTGGATTCTATTTGAAAGTGAAAATTTTTAGGAACATTTCATCGTTAAAATATACAATCATGGCTGATTTGAAGCAAATTGAACTCAAAATCTTCTGGAAATATGTTCGATTTTCGTCCAAAAATGAACAAATTTTGTTTTTTGGATTCGGATTGCTCCAAATTTACTTTACATTCGTTTTTTTATGGAAAAAAATACATCTCCATAGTTTTTATAATCTTTCATCTCGAAATAAATGAATTGTTTTGCCTGATAATTCTTCTAATTTAATTGGAATATTATTGAAAAGAATAACACCGTGTAACAAATTTCAACTTTTTCTTCTGCACATGAAAAATTCCGATTGCTTGTTTTAGAGGACCAAAAACCAAGCACTTTTGCATCATTAGTTTGTGCGAAACCACGTCTAGATTTTTTTTTATCGACACATACAAGACAAATTTCAGGCCAAAATGAGCAAATCACAAACATGAGCTTCGGTTTGACAGGTAAAAGCAAATGATTTCTACCTTTTCTGCCTTTGAACATCTAGTATGATCCTTTACGAATATTTTGGGTACTTACATGACCGAATCGAGTGATGATTTCACATATTTCTAGCCGCATATTTGGTTGGTTCGATTTCAACTCTAAAAGAATCGACTTTTGGCCAAAAATCCTTGAATATAGGCTTTTCAGGGATGGTATCTTGGCGCAAAGTTATTTTTTCTCGAAAATATGAGGAGTCTACCCAGACAAAAACTCTCTAAATTGACTTTTTAAGGTACCTCCCGAACAAAAGTTACGTTTTTCATGCATTTTTCTATGAAATTATCAATTTTTGTACGGAAGGTACCCCAAAAATACACTTTTTGGATGAGTTTTTTAGTAAAAAATTTATTTTTTCGAGAAATATTGGGAATTTTCTCACACAGAATCTCTTATAAATGATTTTTGGGGTACCTCCCGAACAAAAAATGATATTTTCATAGCAAAATGCTTGAAAAATGTAACTTTTGTTCGGGGAGTACCTCGAAAAGTCAATTTTGAGAGTTTTTGTCTGGGTAGACTCCCCATATTTTCGAGAAAAAATAACTTTGCGCCAAGATACCATCCCTGAAAAGCCTATATTCAAGGATTTTTGGCCAAAAGTCGATTCTTTTAGAGTTGAAATCGAACCAACCAAATATGCGGCCAGAAATATGTGA